CAAAATCCACATTTTTCCATGATTAAAATGAAGCACCACTATATATATATAAAGTATCCAGGTTGTAGCCATTTTTGTCTAGATGAAAAGCCAATCAGGGCTTGGGGTAGAGGTAATATCTTTTATTACACCACCAAGATTTTGCAAAAAAATAGACATATAGATACTGATTTTTCATTTAAATAATGGAAAAATGTGGATTTGGGTTACTTATAGATATAGATATATAGTGGTGTTTCATTTTGATCAAATTGCCAAATTAAGAACAAATCCCTCAGCTATTTTCTGCCATTTTTTTTTCAAAGTGCACTACTTCTCCGCTCAGTTGGAACTCATAAACAGTCCCTTGCAGCTAACTGAAGAAGCAACACCCTTTGAAATAAAAGCCATAGCAAACAGCTGTGCAGAACAACAGTGGTCTTCTAGCTGTCTGCTGTGGTTCTGTATACTCTTGCCCAACTCACAAGCCTTCATGTTTGCAGGAGGCTTAGGAACCAAAACCTATGAAGAAAATGAGTTCTACCACATTAACAAAGAACATTCAGAAAGCCAGAATGGGAAAGACACAAAGTACTGCATTTGAGAAGTTCAAAATGATGAACAATTTCTTCCTTAATTTAATTAACTCTTTTTGTACCATTAGCTGAATACTTTACTTCTTAGGGTGACCGAGGCATACAGTGTTCATTCAAAACACTGGGCAATCTGTAAACAGTGTACATAGCTAAAAACTGTTAAGTTTGGCAATCTGTTTCAACTGAAACCAACTAATACCTAAGCCAGTCCTTCTTTATAAAGGATGCCATCTTTAAGATAAGAAAGAAGCACACAGCAACAAGGGATACCTTAAACAGAACAGCAAGGTTCTGACAGGAGGGTAGAGATGCACCTTATAGACTAATGGAGTGAGAGAGATAAGCTTTCATGAGCAAGAGCTAACTGGATCAGAGATGCATAAGGGACTTCCCTACCATATCTTCTGCCTAACTTCAGAGTAACACAGCTAACTACCTCCCCCAGGCATGGACTTTTTCTTACACCAAAAAGCTTTCACCAGTTTCTCTTGATACATCTGCCGTCAACTTTGCCCATTAACATTTAACTAAATAGGCACAAAAATCAGAGTACCACATTAACAGAAGATTATGAGAGTCCATTATTTAGTTTTGGGATCATTTTCCTTTTAATTTTGGGTTGTGCACATACTATTTCCCAGGCTAATTGTTCCAATCAGTACAGTCCTAATTCTGAAGGAAAACATGAGCTGGAGACACACCATTAAAACTCCAATGCAGCATAAAGTTGCCAAAATCCATTTCTGGTCAACAAGACCCTTAGATCCAAATGTGTTAAGGGCACAGAGCACCTAATTCTCTCTAATTTCAGTGGGCTTTGTGTGTCTAACTACTTTTAAAAGGTTTGTTTTGTTGCCTGAGCATGTGACTCCTTTTATTTATGTT